ACATGCAATAAAATATTATATAATATGTAAAACAAATAAAAAAGTATACCTGAAATTCTCTCAGATTTCAAACTATTAACAGAGAGAAGGCATGGCCTTAGAGGCACTCCCTGTTCATTCCTATCAAATGGATTCCTAGCAATTTCCTTAAGAAGGATGATACAGTTCTAGGAGTAGATGTAAACATATTTCCACATTTCCCTAGTAGTTCTTATGATGCATGGAAATGGATTTGCAGATTCTTATAATCATTATTGTCATTATAACATCTAATTATTTGTGACAATATATTAGGTAGTATCCACAGAGAATTCATTGGATATGTTGCATGTGCTCTAAAAACTTGCAACTAAAAACAGTATCAGTTGGACTTTATAATATAATTACACTCAATATGAAAAATAGATTGGAGAGTGTAATTACCTTGTAGAATAGAGGGTTTAACCTTCAGCATCAGAGTCAGCATATTTAAATGTGGATGGCAGTATCATGTGTGCACACATATGAATTTCACATATAAAATGGAAACTTTATATTAGTACAATTGCTTCATATCAATGATGAGACTTACCAAGATATATATGTCATCTCATATGATGGAGTACTATAAATTGAGGTGCTTGAAGCTTAGAGGCCTCATGGCCTTTAATGTAGTATAAAAGTGTATTTTGGAGACCCAACAAGTTGGCATCAGACATTTAAAAACATGTTGATTTTCACTCATTTGCTTTGTATTTATTTCGCACTTAAAGGAGACTAAAAACATATGGATGCTGCATCAGCATGCACATGTATTCACATGGAAAGGTAGATACATTTATTATTAACATGCATCAGCAACACGGTTGTTGGTGGTTTCCACAGTTTATGTACCTATACTGAACCTCTGTGTGGGGATATGAGTGTGACACATCTTCTCATTATTCATGCTGAAAGTTTATCCAGCAGCAGGAAAAGTTCAAAGGGCTGGATAATTCTTTAGTTGGGCTTAGAACCATTATGGTGTGATTTCAGCAACAGATTCACCTTTTAAATTCCATCCTATTTAGTCACTGTAAGAACAATTTACATTTGCAAAGCTGATATTTGGAAAGATCCTACTTGGAGCTCCAGTTCTGTGACCCTGGGAAATTGCCTTCTATCCATTTTTTTTTTTTATTCACTAACTGATTGGTGTCTACTATGTGCCAGGTGATGTGGTTATTTTTAAGGAAGTGTCCTCCCTATCCCCAAGACACAAAGATATTGGACCAAAGGCTGTTCATAGACCCTATATGTACAATATGTTTGGGAAAGCAAGATAAAAAATTGATCTGGAACAAAAAAAATCCTGAGTTGAAATAAAAAATTTGAATAATAGAGATTTTGTTTATTTGTATAAACACACATAAGCTACCCTATATATTTTTTTCTGCATCTTCGCTCCTTTCTCCTGCATCATCCCCATCTGGTCAAGTCAGATTAGATGAGTTGGGTTAATTTGTTTCTTTTTCTTTTTTTGACGGGCAGAGTTAGAGAGGGAGAGAGACAGACAGACGGACAGAAAGGTCTTCCTTCCATTGGCTCACCCCCTAAATGGCTGCTATGGCACGTGTGTTGCACCAATCCAAAGCCAGGAACCAGGTGCTTTTCCTGGTCTCCCATGCGGGTGCAGGGCCCAAGCACCTGGGCCATCCTACACTGCACTCCCGGGCCACAGCAGAGAGCTGGACTGGAAGAGGAGCAACCGGGACAGAACCGGTGCCCCAACCAGGACTAGAACCCGGTGTGCCGGCGCCACAAGCGGAGGATTAGCCTAGTGAGCTGCGGTGCTGGCCAATTTGTTTTTATCTGCTAGTTATAATATTTCTTTCAAGATGCTTACATTTACAGATATTCCTTTGAAGGTAGCACAGAATTTGCCATCACTTCTCTTAGGTTTAGTAGGGGTGATCTGCCCACTCATGGAGATGTTTTTGTCTTGATTGAAGAGACCGTTATTGCCGCTGACATTTCTGCGACGTGGAGGGTCTTCTGGCAGTGGGGAAAGTGGGGGAGGGAATAGCTTTTCTTCCTTTCTTCTATTTGCTCTCCTGGATGAATTATTTCTGTGCAAACAGAAAGTGTAGGATGTCACAAAATCTCCTCTGCCTTTATTCTTATTTTCCTCATGAGTTTGGTACTTTCAACTAAAGTAATATTTTAATTGATGATCCTCTACCTATGATGAAGATTGTATATATATACATATATATATGTGTGTGTGTGTGTGTATATATGGCATAGATATAGATATCTCTATATAGAAATATAGAGATGCATACATATGTGTCCAAGAATAAACACAGGTCTTTGAAGCAGAACAGTATGATGAATGTAAATATGCAATGGAGTATGTTACAAGGTGATAGTTGCAACATTTCAAGACAATTATTAATTAGATTTTTATGGAAAATACAATGCAGACTTTAATACCACCATTTTCAGGATAGTTCCTACCAATTTTGCCCTAGGATTTAATGTCACAATCCTGAAATAAATAGTAGAATAAGCAATCAGTAGAAGAGTATTTTCTTAAGAAATACTATGCTTATACATAGAAATTAATAACACATTAATACTATTGAAACACTACAAATTGTATGAAAAAATGTTCTATCCAATGCAAAGGTATTATGATCCCCTGACCTTAAATTATTATACTGAAAGATGCACATACTCCACTTTACAAAAATCCACTTTAAAAATTCTTTGGTTATAGTGACATGAGACATCTGCAATTTCAAAATACTTCCATGCTTTCAAACTGATTTATCTACCCATTAAATGGGTGCCATCAAATAGACTGAGACTTCAAATAAAACAGAACAACTAACATCTTACACTAGCTGCTTAACATAGTAATTGGGTCATGGATTTTCATTTTAGTTACTGTCTTAGACTAATCAATGAAGATTACTTGAATTTTAATCTTTTCTTAGACAACTAATATTGCACTGTGCAGCCATTTGCTTTTCATGATTATTGACTACAATTTTCAATAGCAAATTAAGTCAACAAGAATTTATGTTCTCTTCTTGGTCAATTTCAGTCAGTGTCTGGAAATATAGATTTACAATATCTCAAAGCCACAATTCAAAGATGAACAAGTATTCAAGTGGTTTGGTTTCCTGAAATAGCAGAAGTCAATGCAGTCTCCTTGTTACACTTCCACTGTGTTGCACAGATTTGACAAATGTAATAATATGTGTCATCTTCTCTGATTTTTGTCTCATAAATGTGGCCCTATATTAATTTCTGTCATGCAGTGAAATTTTTAAATATATTAACTGCTTCTGGCATTACATTAATAGGTTAAAATTAATTATAAAATACTTACCAAGGGATTTTTAGAATTGCTTTGACATGTAGAACTATTTTAAAGTTGTTGGGATACCTGATTAAAATAATTCTTGTCCATGAGGAAGTTCCATCAACAACAGACCACATTAAGTGTAATAATTACAAAAGCGCTGGATCTTTGGAAATTTACATTCATAGATACCAAGTACTGCTGTGAAATCTAACAGAGGCAAATGTTACATTAGTTGTAACCATTCCCTGAATACTTGAGCTGGTTAAGAAGGTAGTAGGGACTGCAAAGAGAAGAGCTGTTTCAGAGAAAGAGTTTATTTGTCATTGCTTACTATAGTCATGTAAATCCTCCCCATTTGCCACTAAATTGACTAGTGGGGACTCAGTGCAGTGTGTGCTTTGAGTATCAGTGACCTGGTCTCCTTTTCATCTGTCTCTTAGGAACCTGGAACCATGGGGCATTTAATGAATTCCTTGGCAAAGGATATCCAGGATATATTTTCTAGAGACCACTTTGTCATTGTTATGGCTTCCAAATTACAAAAACAGCCTTGTTTCTTTTGGTTCCTCTTTCAATAGGCCAGAAGAAAACATCAAAGAAGAGAAGTACATCATCACCCTAACTCATTGCATCAGCAGACCATCTGATGGCTCAAGTGCAAAAGTGAGATGGAGATTGCTCAGCAGGGTTCTTTGGTTGGATTATGAGAAACATTAGCTGTCAGACTCTGATGTGGTATCTTTGCTAATTTTAGGATATTTATTTATAAAAGTGAATCTTGTCTCATAAACATTTCTAAGGATTTGGTTTAAAAGGTCAACAAGGTACAAAGGAGTAAAGGAAGCTTAAGGAGAGGGTTCTCAGGAGAAGACTCCCAAGATGTCAGTGCTTAGATTGTCCCAGAGACTTGAATTTGTTTGATGAGCATAATAACCTGCTTTTGGCCCTTCTGGAATGATACATGCTACTATAGTAACACTACTTTCCTATCTACTAGAAAGGCAGAGAGATGGTAAGTACTGTGGGTTATAAAGGCCATTTTAAGAGAACAAACTCAAAGTATTAGACATGTACTTAATCCTTTGCTATCTGTCTTCTATAAGATGGAGAAAGTGAATCACCTTTTCACTTAGGGATACTAGTAGTGGAGACTGATGATCTCTGTGCCTCTTCTTTATGCATCTGGGTGTTGTGCATGAGTCAAAGCCTGGGAACTGAGGATGTATTGCCAACACAGCTATGGCACTTCAGTCCTTCCTCCTGTCCAAGACCTTGGAATGCCTTGTTGGACCACTGGGGCAGCACACTTCCTCACATGTCTGGAAGGAATGTAAGCTGATCCCCTTCACCTCAGTGGACCCTGATACAAAGAGGGGATCACCTTGCTTCATTGAATGAGTGTCCAGTTCTGAGAACTCCAAGTATGTGAAGGGATGTTTCAGAACAGTTGTACCAGGGAATATAGTTACTCATCCTCAGGGACAAGAGCAGCCCAGGACCCACCATCTCCTCTTTATATAGAGTACAATTAATCATGATTGGTCTTTTTCTACCATTAAATTGAAAACAAGAAGGATCTAGACCAATGCAAGCTGATAACTTATTTCCGACATCTGATATGTGGCAGATTGATGCCATGTCACTGATGTTAAACAGTAATCTGTGAAATCAATTGTTAGCAGCAGTTAGCCAGATTGCCTCTCTGCTCTGGGCTCCTAATAGGCTCCCAAACTGGGCTTTGATGGAAGCAATCTCTAATGTTGAATGAATTTATGGCAATAATTACCCAGACAGAATGGTTCAAGTAGCTGACATGATTGTTAGTTATATGATATTTATAACACAGAAAGAACTAAGACACAGTGCTCTGTAGAATCAGAGGGCAGAACTTCTCCAGGGAAGGCTGATGCTGTCTGAATGAGGAGGGAAGAAGGAGGCCTTTTGTCTGACTCTGGAACTTTCCACACAGTGAGAGAAGGGAAATGAGGGGCTAGCTGGTTGCAATGAACATATCCTGCCCTACCTAGCTATCCTGGGGAGGACAATTCCTAGACAGCTTTTATCACTGGCCTCTGGAGCTCAAAATGTAGCTATAGGTCCTCCAGCTTCATATTAATGTGCAGTAATGTCATTCAAGAAGCAGCAGCTGCATCATCATCCTGTCAACATCAAGCGGCTGCTTTTCCAGGGTAATTGTTTAAACATCATCAGGACTGAATCTGGCCAGAAGCAGGCAATCTGGTTAAAGTGATAGGTGTCCCTTAATGCTTCCTCTTCAATTTGTATATTCCGCTCTGCTCCTTCACTTAGGGCTAAAAGTTTAGTTTTGGCTGATTTCAGTGATCGATCTTAGAGTGAAGAAAATTTGTTAACTAATTCATAGAATCACTCCAAATCTGGCAGCATATATTCCAATCTTTATCCTATGCTCGCTGGACCAGCGACCTGGGACAGCTGTCAGAATTGACTAACTTCTGCTTTTTTCCTAACATTCCTCTGAGACAGGATCTCCTTAAATGGGTTTAATTTGGATTTCTTAAAAGTCTGAACATTCACACAAAGACACCATACATAGACAGTTCAAACTCACTCTCTAATGTTGGGAGGCTTGTGGGGTGGGGCTGGTGAGATGCAAGGGGGGAGCAAGCAGATAGTTGTGGCCTCCTCCATGCGTTGCTTCTTCTCAGGGATTTTGTCTGAAACTTCTGTTGGCTTTAGTAGGAAAAAAATGCACACGGCTTAAAATACATGACACTTTCAGACAAGCACATTTCACATATTTAAAACAAGCAAGACAGTTTGCTTATACTTTAACTTCTAGAATAGGTAATGGAGTTAAATGTGCACCTTCAATAAGACAGAAAGCAATCAGCCTTGCCTAGCTTAGTGCTACCAAGAATTTGTCGTTTGAGAACGTTGAACTGTGATGTGAGCCTCTGGTTAAAGATTGGGTGACATAGAATCTCAACACAAAAATAAATCAAATCTATGCTTTTTAGGCACTTCTCCCACCAACACCACCCCTACTGATGAGTAGTTTAGAACCTAAAATTGTAACCCCAACTTGGCATAAACCCTGTGCAAGCAGCATGGGAATTGTGGTTGATATATAAAAGCTGCTTATGCAATCAATAACACACAAGGAAATGAACCATGGCATGTCTTTGGAACTTGGCATGTGCTGGTTCTGAAGGTATATTTTCCACCCCTGGTTGTACTGTTGTCATCACTAAGAGTGAAAAAAATCAGTGGTATGGGTAGGGCCCCGCATTTCTTGGTCCCTATTTGGACCGTAACTCAGAGATAATAACCTCTTCTTGTTAATCACTGGGGTAAGGCTAAATGAAGATATAAATCATTCTTGCAGTATCCTATTTTGTAGCACAGCCTGGCCATGGGTAGGGCTGCTCCTTAGTGAGGAATCTGAGCCATTTCTGGCCAAACTTAGGTATTTCTGGAAAGAGACAGAAGAAAAGGGGAAATGACTAGAAGCCTCTTCTCTATCCACTACGGTAGTCATTAGAAATATGGCTATCTGAATATTATCATGAGGCAATGTACTCTAAAAAATACCTTGAGATCCAGAAATATATCACAGCGAGGTTATTGGCCACAAATTCATCTCTCTAGACATATTTGAAATGGAAAGGGCTGGGGATTTCATTGTGTTGCAGTCAGTTAAGCCTCCACCCAAAATGCTGACATCCCATATGAGCACCAGTTTGAGTTCCAGCTGTTCCACTTCTGGTCCAGCTCCCTGTTTATGTTCCTGGGAAAACAGCAGAAGATGGCCCAAGGTCTTGGGCCCCTGCCATCCACATGGGAGACTCAGATGCAGTTCTAGGCCCCTGGATTCTGCCTGACCCAGCCTTGGCCATTATGGCCATTTAGGGAGTGAACCTGCAATTGGAAGATCTCTCTCTCTCTCTCTCCCTCCCTCCCCTACCCCTCTCTCTGTCACTTTCCATTTCAAATAAATAAATGTATCTTTTAAAAATGTAAAGAGTAATTCTGGATCCACTCCTGTGATGATACTTTGTAGTTCTGCAATTCAGCCTGTACCTGCTACACGTGAAATGTTCACAAGTCAAGCTTGCTACATAGGCCAGTAATCCTAGCATGACGGGAAGAACATGAATCTGGAGTCTGGTAAAATCAAGGATAGAAAAAGATAACTGGATGGTGGGGGTGCTAACATTTATCCAGAGAAATGAATGAGGTCCTGAGAAAGCTTTTGGAAATTGAGGGCACATAAGCACCCTGCTGATCCAGGGGCAGCAGTTTAAGGAGAAATGACCTGAGTCTGAAAACAAGAGGAGCTTAAGGAGCTGATGCCATGGACCAGCTGCCTGGGAACAGAGACTCTTCTTATTCTTCTTTATGGCACATCATAAATCCCTTAAGTGCCACAGTGGACTTTCTTGTCAATAGATGCCAAACTCTGATAATTTCTAGCACTTCCTCCCTAGTCATGTATCAAATACTGCACTTCTCATGGAAAGCGTTACTGTTTTCACCAAACTGTGTAACCCACTGGCATTGGCTTCATTGAAAACAAGACTGAAGACCAATTTGGACAGCAGATAGCCGCTGCTAATGATCACATTGGACAGCTTACCTTGTGCTTACGCTTGCCCTTAGGGGGCAGTTTTTCCACAACTGGAGGAACAGTCTGACGCTTAGGTTTTGAAGCAGTCTCCTTGTGTTCTGCCTTGGATTGTGCTGTTTGGAGTGAGTTGTGGCCAGGTACCCTAGAGAGCAAGTCCAAATCAATTTTCACCCAAAGGTTTTTCAGATTCTCCTGATCTTGTAGAGGGGACAGCAGCTCAGTTTGTGTGACAGGAATCGGTGAAAAAGTTGGCTCTTCATTATTGATTGTTAAGTTGTTGCTGCTGCTGATTAAGGTGTTCAGGGCCAGGTTGGCACCACAGGGTTCCTTGGATTTAGCAGTATTACCTCCAGGAACAATGCAAGGAGGCAGGACTTTGATCGGCGGGGTCTCTTCCTGATCTGTGTTGGAGTCAGACGTAGATGAATCTGTTTCAATGAATTCCCGGGACTTTGGGATGATTTTTCCGGGCCCTCTATACTTTTTCTTCTCAGCAGCCAAAGGGATATTAGGCCTTGGCTCTTTCCTAGGAACTGGTTTGTGAGCAGCGGCTTTGTTGCGGCCTCTTGGTGGATCAGGAAGCTCTATGCTCTCTTTTTCTTTGGGAGTACTGCTAGTAATGTTTGGTTTGGGCCAGGTAAACTCCTCAATACTGGTGTTCTTCTCCATCTTTCTGGGTTGCTTTTTCCCAATTGTCCTTTGAGAGGCTGTTTCAATTGGTACCGACAGCTTATGTTTCACAGCCTTTGCTTCTGGAGTTCTCTGGGTAGGCCGTGGACGGGCCTTCTCCCTGATGAGACTGAGGAGAGGCCGTTCCTTAGGTTCAGCCAGAAGCTGGCTGGGGTTTGGCTTCACTTTGAGCTGTACTTCCATTGGTTGGATGATAGGAGGAGGCAGAGAAATGGTCTCCATGGGTGTTTCATTTTGACCACAAATAAATGACTTGTTCTGTGATGTCACCTTGTTGAGCCATTTATCCAACTGCCACTTGTTGGTTGAAGGTGGGTCAGGCTGCAGATTGAGAAATAGTAGGTAGAATGCAGTTCACATTTGGGGAATGCACTTCACATTCAGGGGGACTCTCAGCACAGCGACATAATAAAACCTTTGGACATTAAGTGACCAGTTACCCTTACCCCCGCAACATACATATACACACATGTGCACACGATAATCAGATTACCTCAGCTATCCAGAAACAAACCAGCTGTACTCTACATATTTAAACTAATTTTCACACTTCCTCTGAAAACATTCTCCGCTCTGATTAGGAAGGAAAGAATTATTCACAGGGAGTTGTTCCAGAAGGTGTGTAGGCATCTCTGGGAGGGAAACCTATTCACAAAACCTTTTGTTGGGAATCATCATTCACTCTATCACCAGGAGGAAGAGGCAATGGTCTCTGATCCTTAAAGAAATCTGAAGGCACTTTAAATATAATTGAAAAGGAAAGGCTTTCCATCCACCAGGTCTTGCAAGTACCTTGTATATGATGCTGAAATTCATGGCAAATAGAATAAGTCGGGTATTGTTACAGAAGGATGAAAATATTTCACTTACACAAAATCCACTGCACTTACCTTGGTGTATGAGCAATGACCAATTTATGGGGACATGGATGCAGACATTAATGTCTACTGGTAAGCCATGGAAATGATGTGTACAATTTAGTTTCTTGATTCACAGCTCTGAATTCTACCAGTTGAACTGGAAGAGCCATAATTTGTATGAGTAGAGCTTTTCTTTTGGAAGCCATTAGCTGAGGCTTATGGAATTAGTCAATAGATGATGACAGAGTTCAAAACATTTGAGTAGCTGCAATGCCAATCTGCACAGGACAATGGCAGGTAAGAGTTAAGAAAACTGTATTGGCTGCCTCTATCAGTGGTGTAGTTCTGTGGTTAAAAGCACGAGCTTTGGCAGCACACTGACTTGGGTTTCAGTCTTGGCTCTATCACTCTCTTATCTGTACAAGCTTGGGAAAGTTTTTCTTAGCTTTCAGAACCTTATTCTCTTATCCATAAAAGGGATTTTGTAATAGAAAGTGCCCTGTAGGGTTGTTATGAGGATGGAATGAGAAAATTAAAATCACCATCTTAGCACAGTGTCTGATACAAGGTCAATGTTCAGTAAATATTTTTTGTTGTTAACAGTAGTAATATTACTACTGCCTTATTCTATTATTATTTTCTGATTACTGAAAACCAAGTGTTTGAAGAGCCATGGGGTGTTGGGATTCAGTTGCTGTATCAGGTATAGTCTCAGCTGAACTGGGCAGCTATCCTGAACTCAGAGAAAGGAAAAGCCAATTTTTCTTCTTATTATTATATTAATAAAGCAATATTATTATTTTCTTATTTTACAGGGCTGAGTTAAATGTTTTATTATATTATGATCATTTAAAACATGTGACTTCTTGATCATTATAGGGAAAGCATTCATTACTCTAATGGAGAGTAAGGTTGGTGTCCCAAGAAGTAGATTTGATTGGCTTCGTTGGTGCTCTCAAAAGAGAAGTTGCTATCCCAGTCATTACTATTCTCATTTTACACATGAGGAAATTTGCAATTCAGAGTAGCTAAGTGAGTCACACTGCAAATCAGTCACACAGCAAGAAAAGTACATATTTTGGGATTCTGTAAATATATGCTTTAGAGAAAAACAATTCTATCAAGCACCTGGATACTTTTCTGCTGAAGTAGTTATTGTACTAAAGCAATTTATATGCTGAAAGTGTGTGTGTTGTGTGCATGGATATGTATGTATGTATGTCAGGATGCTGTCTGGGGAAAAGTCAGATGGTGATTTGGCCCTGACAACTTCACTCACCTCTGGAGTAGCCACACGAGGTGCCTCATTGGATTCACTGTCAGTGGTGCTGCTTTCGCTGTCTGAGTCTGACTCAGAGCTGCTCTCTGACTCGCTGGAGCTGCCAGACCCTCCGCTGGGTTGTGCTACAGGTAGAGGCTGGGATGTAGCCAAGGGTGGGCTGAAAGAAAAATGACACCACTTATTGCCTCATTCCATCTCAAACCAGATGGAAATAGTTCAGTTACTCGTAAAAGGCCTATGACCTGTGTGCTACAGGCAGAGTAACACGGACTATTCCCATTTTACAGATGTGAAAAGTGAGGCTCAAGAGGTACAGTGACTGGCTCAAGGTCCAATGTTTGATTAGAACTAGATCTGCATATATCTAAGTTATTTGGGTTCCCAAGAAACTGTCTCCCTTCCCAGGAAAGCCATGCCAAGGTTTCATGCTTTCCAGATGCAGTAGAAACTTAGATAATGGTCTCATTTCTTTTTCAGTAAGATAGTGTTTCATTTTCTGTTACTGTCTAATAGGTTTGTTGAGAGGCTCTGATCTTAGCTAAACACAAACTATAGTCCTATTACAAAAAAAGATGAGTTCAATCTTCCTTTTAGTTGGAGGAAATTGAGACCCACAGAGAAGGAAGGGCTTGCCTCTTCCTCCCAGCTGGTTGGACAACCATGACTAACTCTTCTCACATTGTCCTCCCACCTCCCTCCATGGGCAGTGGCTGTGCCAAACATATTCATTGATGAGCGCCCAGCACTCAGCACCAACCTGACTAAAGTTGGCCCTCAATTGCTGTCTGTTGGGTGCATGAATAAGAGAATGAGAGAATACTCTTCTTTGCTTGCTCCACCACAATTTTCGTAAAATTTTGTTGTAAAAATTTTACCAAGAATTATGATCCTAGGGGACAAACCATCTCTAATGATTGATTTTAAATTTGTAAAGCTGACCAAGCAAAGCATTTGCAAAGTGACACCATTTACTACTCTGCTTTTATTGAGAATCGATATTCCTTCCCTACCAATCGTTTGCTCTCTGTGCCCTGTCACAAATCAACCTCAGCTACCTCTTAGCATACTGGGGTATGCCATTGCTTTGCTTTTACTGGTCTGATTTTTTGGACTGAGTTTTTTTTCTGATTTTTTCTCAGAAATTGGGCTCCTAATTTGTGGGAGGGTTCTACTTGCCCTCTGGTTCTTCTACCTAAGCCCCTTTGGAGATAAGCTGAGCTCAAGTGCAACTTTCCTGTGTGTGGGATCTAGTCCACTAATCTGCCTAGCTGTCTTCTGGCCCTCCCTCCCTCTCACACAGGGCAGCAACTCATCTGGCTTTCCTGCCCCCTATTCCCAAATCTGAGGCAGCAGCTCAGTCAAGAGAGACAAATCCTGGCTTTGGATATCATTTGGTTCTGTCATTCCACATTCAGACCTCAAAGGGTCCAAAAGGATTCTTGTGCCTGAGATTATGCAAGCATAGCCATTTATTCTTTGCCTAAAGCCAAACAAGGTTATATTTCCACTGCATATCCTTACTAGAGTCTCTTCCCAACATTACAGCCCTCACCTATTGGGCTGGAGTCATAGCCAGCTGCTGCTTGGGGGAAAAAAAGGGATCCCTTTGAAGCCATCATGGGCTCCTCATCAGTCACTACCCAGCCCCAGCATTGAGACCTTTGCATTGCTTGTGCCTTCCATCCCTAAAGACTGGCCTTTTAATCTCCCCGGTAGGTATTTCCTTTCATAGAGTAAAATGAAACTCATTTAAAAATGCTGTCTCCTAAGTAAATACTATCTGCAAGTACACTGCTCTGCTAAACATGCCAAGAGATTAAGGAAGCACAAGAAATTGGGGACTATATCCCCTGGAGACCTGTGTGTGCTGCCCCAACCATGGGGGTGCTCCTATTTCCCAGCATTCCCCTGCAGCTCTCACTTTAATGTAAGTAATGACTTCATATTTATGCAAAGTCCCTCTTAAATCTAATCAATTCTTCCCTTTGGTTACTAAATAAAGATTGAGAAAATATATCCAAGTGAGACTAATCCAGAGATTACGCTAACTTGGTCTCAATTCCCCCCAGGTGAAATTTTGAATATAATAGTTCATCTACAATACAGAGAATATTGGGTGGTAGATGGAGGGATAAAATCTAATTTGTATCCACATTTATGATTTTCAAGTGGAAAGGCTCTTCTTAGTAGTCTTTCACATTTATGCATTAATTTTTTTTTCTGGCTCCTCATAAAAAGCTGGTCATCCTGCTATTACCAAACCAAAATAGACTCTTTGGAATATGATTGGATAAAATTCCCATTTAAAGAGTTATTTTTGAGCAACTTCTATAAGAAAAAAACAATCCCAGGAATTGTTCCCTCAAAACCAAATGCTCTGAAGTGTTACAAATAAAAAAAGAGGCTGGATTTACACAAATCAACTTATTTCTCAGCTAAATCAAAATAAAAGCTTTATGGGTTTAGTAAAAAATGTGTGTGCGTGTGTGTGTGTGTGTGTGTGTGTGTGTGTTCATGTTCATATACCAGTGTCCTTATCCAAATTCCTTCTAAGGACAGATGCATTTTGCTCTTTGGACGTTTTTATTTTAAATAGTAGTAAGGTGAATATACTATATATAAAACTCCCAGTTGAGACCTTAGGAAGTCCTCCTTAACAAAACTTATTAAAATGCCTTGAGTAATGTTCAGAATAAAAGGAATAAATAAATACTCGACATAAATATCCGCATATCAGTTTACGTCATGTTTTGTCATCAAATGAGTTTGTCTCAGTAAAATAACAACTCTCAGAACTTTTTGAGTTTCAAAATTCCAATTAAGAGGTTATGGACATGATAGAGGCCATATATGAAAATGATTATAATCTTATAACTAAGTGGACATATTGAAATTATTTCTCTTAAGAATTCTGACAGTTACATCTTTTGTTGTGTTCTTAGAGGGGACCCAATGGCCAGTCAATATTGACAATGACCACTTAAGGGAAATGAGTATAAGAATTGGCCACTCTCTACAATCAAGCTGTGTGGGCATCAAAAAGGAAAAGTTCCAGAATGGGTAATGATTTTGTAGAGGGAAATATACATGGGAAGATTTGACAAAAAGTCCATAGGATACTGACCTTGGCAGCACATTTAAAAGACCCAGAACTTTCCAAAGGCATGTAGCATGAGATGTTTGATGCAGCAATCCTGTATTAAAATCTTTTTCTTTTTTTGACAGAGTTAGTAAGAGAAAGAGAGACAGAGAGAAAGGTCTTCCTTTTTCCATTGGTTCACTATACAAATGGCCAATCCGAAGCCAGGAGCCAGGTGCTTCCTCCTGGTCTCCCATGCAGGTGCAGGGTCCAAGCACTTGAGCCATCCTCCACTACCCTCCTGGGCCACAGCAGAGAGCTGGACTGGAAGAGGAGCAACCGGGACAGAATCCAGTGCCCCAACTGGGACTAGAACCCAGGGTGCCAGCGCCGCAGGCGGAGGATAGCCTAGTGAGTCACGGCGCTGGCCAAAATTTTGAGTTTAGTTTAGACTTGCATGAATTTCATCAGCATGATTGTGAGTTTTATAAGGATCCAGTGTAAGTCTACCCAATAATATGGAATGGTTTCATATTTCAGTTCATCATTAAGTTGTAAAAGGATAGGCCTGGGGCAATGGACTCAACATCAAGTAAAAAGTGGGAATATAGGAAGGACTATAAGCAATAATCAAGTGTAAAGATGTCCATTTCACTCATGTAATATAATTTTAAAATAATCACAGATCATTAAGACTATAGAGTATAGCAGTCTTAGTCATTGACAAAACTAGTAGCAATACTGATACACACAGGCATTAGTTTATTCTTTTTTTTTTTCTTTTCAATCTTAGCTCCCACATATAAGGGAGAACATGCGGTATTTGACTTTGTGTGTCTAGCTTATTCCATTCAATATGATGCCCTCTGGTTGCATTCATTTTGATGCAAATGGTAGAATCTTCTTCTTTTTTCATATGTGAATAATATCCCATTGTGTATATAAAAATATATACACACATATACATTACATTTTCTTTATCCATTCATTAGATGATGGACACCTTGCTTGATTCCATATTTTGGTGACTGAGAAAAGTGCTTCTATAAACACCATGGTGCATGTATCTCTTTGATAAAATGTGGCCATGTCTTTTGGGTATATACCCAATAGTAGGATTGTTGGATCATGTGGCAAGTCTATTTCTAGGTTTTTAAGAAATCTGCATACTGTTTCCCACAATGGCTGCACTAATTTACATTCCTACCAACAGTGTATAAGAGTTCCCCTTTCTCCATATCCTAGCCAGCATTTGTTACTTTCTGCTTTTTGGATAATAGACATTCTGACAGGGGTGAGGTGCTATCTCATTGTGTTTTTAGTTTGCATTTTCCTTATGGCTAGTGCAGTACTAAACCTTTGACTATAATGTAAATTTAAAATATGTTATCTGAAAAATTAAAAAAGAAAGAAAAAGAAAGAAAGAGGGAATTATTTGAACTGTATCTACAAAATACATTGAATTTGTTCTCTTTGTATTAATATCCCATTAACATAAGAATTGATGATGATAGTGTTATAATTATCACATATTTATAGTGACCCTAAGAATAGAATGTATCAATACATTCATTAAAATAAATAAAAACAACTATCATTACAAATATTAAAAAAAGGAATCAACAACCACAGCTGATTTTCTGTATCTTCCTCCCTCATTTTTCTCTCTGAATTCCAAGTTCTAGACATAGAGAAAAAATGTATCTGGTTCATCCCACTAGACTACTAGAGGCAGATCCTCTGAATCCTGAATTTATTCCAACAGGGGGGTGGGATGAATCCATTTTTGTCTGTGTCAGTTCTTTTGAAATATACCCCACCTCTTCTACCTTCCAACAATGCATTTATTCTATTTGTTCAATCAAAAGCATACTGAGAAATAGAAAGCAATAAAAAGTGTTTACAGAAGCATATTATAGTGTAAAACAGACAAAAGCTGAGTTGCTGTGGTGGAAATAATGGGTGTAGGAACAGTGAAGGGCCAGTGGTTTCAAGTAGCTTTCCCGCCTCCATGATATGGGTCCTGAAAATAAATACTGCAAACCCCAATATTACCACAAGAAACTCCAAATCAAGTC